TATTTTTGGGTGTTTCAAATACAAGGAGTTGACTTGGAAAACTGGAGCCCCATGGGGGTCCCGAAACATGGAGACCCAAAGATGATGGATGTGGTACTGGAAAAGCCTCATGCATCAACATGTTAGAGCACTACCAGGGGAGAGAGGAGAGGATAAACCCAGCAAGGTTGGACCTTGTATTCCATGAGTAGTTGGGGACATCGAGGGTATCATGTATGAAAGGCCCTGGGAGCTAGTGATCATGTGGTTCTGTGCTTCGACTACATAGTTGAGCTCCAAGTGGAGAGAGTAGCAGGAATAGGCTGGGAGAAAACCAAACTACAAAAGGGGGGAACTACTCAGGCATGAGGAACTTCCTTCAAGACATTCAGTGGGAGAGGGAACTGACAGGAAAACCAGTACAAAAAATGATGGACTATGTAGCAACAAAATGCAAGGAGGCAGAGGAGAGGTTTGTTCCCAAGGGAAACAGAAATAATGGGAATAACAGAACGAGTCCTTGGTTCACCCAAAGGTGTGTAGGGAGGCAAAAACTAGGTGTACTAGAGAATGGAAAAGGTACAGAAGACAGAGAACTCAGGAAAATAAAGAAATAAGCCGAAGAGCCAGAAACGAATATGCACAGATAAGAAGGGAGGCTCAGAGACATGAAAATGACATTAGCATCAAAAGTAAAGATGACCCGAAGCTGTTGTACAGCCACATCAGGAGGAAAACAACAGTCAAGGACCAGGTAATCAGACTGAGGAAGGGTGATGGGGAATTCACAAGAAACGATCGAGAGGTTTGTCAGGAGACTCAACACAAGATTTAAAGAGGTATTTACAGTGGAAACCAGTAGGACTCCAAGAAATCAGAACAGGGGGGGGCAACACCAGCAAGTGCTGGATGAGGTACATATAAACCAAGGAGGAGGTGAAGAAGCTGCTATGCGAACTAGGACACCTCAAAGGCGGTGGGACCAGACAACATCTCTCCATGGGTCCTTAAGAGGGAGCAGAAATATTGTGTGAGCCTTAACAAAGATCTTCAACACATCATTTGAAACTGGGCAACTCCCTGAGGTATGGAAAATGGCAAATGTAGTCCCAATTTTTAAAAAGGGAGACAGACATGAGGACACTAAACTACAGACCTGTATCACTAACGTGTATAGTATGCAAGGTCATGGAGAAGATCATCAGGAGGGAGAGTGGTGGGGCACCTGGAAGAAACAAGTGTATAATTGACAACCAGCACGGTTTCAGGGAAGGAAAATCCTGTGTCACAAACCTACTAGAGTTTTATGACAAGGTGACAGAAGTAAGACAAGAGAGAGAGGGGTGGATCGACTGCATATTTTTGGACTGCAAGAAGGCCTTCGACACAGTTCCTCACAAGAGGTTACTGCAAAAGCTAGAGGACCAGGCACACATAACAGGAAAGGCACTGCAATGGATCAGAGAATATCTGACAGGGAGGCAACAACGAGTCATGGTACGCGACGAGGTGTCAAGCCTGTGACAAGCGGGATTCCACAGGGGTCAGTCCTAGGACCTGTGCTGTTCTTGGTATATGCGAACGACATAACGGAAGGGATAGACTCAGAAGTGTCCTTGTTTGCAGATGATGTGAAGTTAATGAGAAGAATCAAATCGGACGAGGATCAGGCAGGACTACAAAGAGACCTGGACAGGCTACAAGCCTGGTCAAACGGGGTGGTTTTCTTGAATTTCCCTGCAAGCAAAGTCATAAAAGATTGGGAAGGGAAAAAGGCAACAAAATATAGTTTTAAGGGCCAAGAAGCAAAATAAGGGAAAAAAGAGGGGGTGGATCACGAATTTTTTCTCCGAGGCGCACATCTCAGTTTAATGCGCAGCTGGGGGCCGGAAAACCCTACGGAAGGCCGATATCAGAGTTTCGAAGACTCTGTTACCACAGTAGGCCTACGGGTAGCGGACCGTTTGTTCCCCCTTTATAGCCGTCAAAAATTAGAGAAGTGCGGTTTAAAAGATTAAGTACGGGGTTTTTTTCCCAAAAAAAGGGAGGAAATCGGCCCGGACACAGGGACGGAGGGTCAGGGGGCAGAAACGGCTTTAAAATACTTCCAATGAAAAAGGGAAAAGAGGGAGGGCCAAGAGGGAAAAGACACAAAGGTACATGGAAGTGAAACTCAAGAAAAAAGGGTGTTAAAAGACTTATCATGAGGGACCTAATCAGAAATGTGAGGGGTCCAAACCTCATATTTTTAACGGGATTTTTTTAGAGTCATGGGCGGGAGAGAAGGACTAGTAGAAATCAGGAAGAGGGGGCAGGGTTTTGACGACCCGAACCAAAATAGGGAGTAAAAAAAGGTGGAGACCCACACACACAAAACAAACACAAAAAAACCCAAAACACAAACCAAAACAACACACCCCCAAAAAAATTCTTCAAAAAAAAAAAGGGGTTTTTTTTTTGGTCATGCTGCAGCCAATCTAAAGGATGTTTTTTTGCAGCAAAATTAGGAGGTGTTTTGTCATGCCAACCAGGAGTGGATCAGCGGGGCGGGCCGGAGTGGACTCCCCGACAATAGGTGCTGTGATACACCACCACCCCCAAACACACACACCCCCCAAACAAACAAAACCACAATGCTGTGTTGTCTTTCAGGCACAGGATGTGTGATCTTTTTCCAGAATCCGGTGCTGTGATCATGTAGAGCAATCCAGGATGCTGTTCATGTCATGCGGATACAGTGTGGTATGTCATCAGAGACCAAGGTGCTGGATCAGTTGGGGGAAACAGGATGCTGTGATATGTATGCAGGGAACCAAAGGAGTGTGATCATGTCTGCAAGATACGGATGTGTGTTCATGTATGCAGCGATACAGGATTTGATCGTAGCGCAGAACAAGGATGTGTGATCGTCAGCAGCAGACACAGGATGTTGTGATCATGTCATGCAGCAGACACGGATGCTGGATCATGTCATGCACCCGAAAGGGTGTGATCATGTCATGAGCAGACACAGGATCGTGATCATGTATGAGCAGACAGGTGCTGTGTCATTTTTCTGCAGAGACACAGGTGTGGTCATGTATGAGCGAACAGGATGCTGTGATATGTCATGCAGCAGACCAAGGTGCTGGTATTTTGCCCGACCTCTGTGAAACCCCCAAAATTTTGTGCTCCCCTGAAGGGGGTGCTGTGAGGGGGCTGCGGGGGAAAGGTGGTGTTGTGCGAGGGGCTGTGCGTAAGGAGCCCGTGCTGGTCTGTGGCGAGGTGGCTGTCTGTTGGGGCGCTGCTGCGAGGGGGTTCTGCTCTAAAAGGTTGCTGGGCTCCTGGAGGTGGTCTGCTGTAGGGGGGTTTGCTGCTGACTGCTGGTGGTTGTTTCTGTGGGGGGGGTTGCTTTTTGGGGGAGTTTTTTGGCGCTGTGTGAGGGGGGTGCTGCTGTGAGGTATTGCTCCCCTTGGATGTGGTCTGGCGAGGGGGTGCTGCTGTGCTGAAGTGGTGCTGCTGCTGAGGTAGTTGCCCCTCCTGCTGATGTGGCTGTCTGCTGGGGGGGTTTGTTGTGCTGAGGTAGTGTCTGCTGAGTGGTGCTGTGCTGAGGTGGTGTGTTTTGTGGAAGTGGTTGCTGTGCTAGGTGGTTTTCCCCTGCTGATGGGTGCTCTGCTGAGGTGGTTTGTGTCTGTGCTGAGGTGGTGTGCCGCTGTTTGTGGGGTTTTGGCTGTTGCGGGGGCCGGCTGTGAGGTGGTGTTGCTGCGTGTGAGGTGGCCTGTTCTTG